GACTGAGCCACCCAGGCGCCTCACCCTCTTACATTTCTATTGGGAGTATCACCAAAGCTAGACACACACATGGCCTCTTCTGACCCCAGCATTCTACTCCTGTTTATACACTAAAAAGAAATGAACACATATGGCCACCAGAAGACATGCACAAAAACATCCTTAGCAGCTTTTGTCCATAATAGCCTAAAACCATAAACAACCTAACTGTCTATCAAGGTAAAATGGATAAATAAACCATGCTGTGTTCATATGTGGAATACTACCCAGCAATAAAAAGAATGAACCACTGGTACATACACAACGAAGATAAATTTCACAGAAATGTTGAGTGAAAGAAGGCAGACCCTGAAGAGTATTTTATATTCTACTTATATGAAGTTCAAGAACAGGCCAAACTAATCTATGGAGATAGATGTCAGAACAGCCTTTACTGGGCGTGGGTGGTGATGGTGGTTATTGACAAGGGAGTTCAAGAGAGCTGTCTGGGGGCGCCTGGGTGGCGCAGTCGGTTAAGCGTCCGACTTCAGCCAGGTCACGATCTCGCGGTCCGTGAGTTCGAGCCCCGCGTCAGGCTCTGGGCTGATGGCTCAGAGCCTGGAGCCTGTTTCCGATTCTGTGTCTCCCTCTCTCTCTGCCCCTCCCCCGTTCATGCTCTGTCTCTCTCTGTCCCAAAAATAAATAAACGTTGAAAAAAAAAAAAAAAAAAGAGAGCTGTCTGGGATGCTGGAATAAATCTTCTATTAAGCTGCATGGTGGTTACACAGATGTATACATCTGTACAAAGTAACCAATCCGTGCACTAGAGATCTATATACTTTATTATGTTCCACCTTTAAAAAAACCCTAGAAAATCAAAACAAAAACCAGTCACCAGTGTAGATGTTCTTGCGGGGAAGCAGTAGAAGAGAATGTTTGAGAAGCATAAGGTTGTAGAAGACCTTGAATGGCGGTGGAGTGGCATGTGTGGGTTGTCTCCTCTGACAACCTGAGGCCTGAGGGAGGGAAATGACATAATGGAAGCAGAGATGTGCCTGTTGGACTGAGGCCTGGTCTACAAGTGAGGCTGTTGCATTAGGACCCCAGTGAGGGTGATGCTGTTGAAAATGGAAACTCGGAAGAAAGAAGGATTAGTAAGTCTGGTGACTGGTTGGGCAAGGACAGCAAAGGGTGACAGAGCAGAAATGACAGATTCCATGCTAGATGGCTGGAAAAACGATGGTTCTTTTTTGTTTGTTTCTGATTTGTTTTTATAAACATCTTTTTAATTTATTTTTTTTTTATTTTGAGAGAGAAGAAAGCGCACACCAAGTGGAAGAGGGGCAGAGACATATGCGTGAGAGAGAACCCCAGGCAGGGTCTGCACTGTCAGCGCAGAGCCCAACGCAGGGTTCGATTTCACAAACCCTCAGTGAGATCATGACCTGAGCTGAGATCAAGACTCAGATGCTTACCTGACTGAGCCACTCGACCCCTCTTGTTTTGCTCTTTAAAACGATGCTTCTCATAACAGAATTAAGAAAGCCAGGAGAAAGAATCAGTTTGGGAAGTCAAGAGATGAGTGGTTTTATATACTTTAATTTTGAAGTGGTGACAGGCAGCTGTGGGGGTCAACAGAGCAATTAGGACTGGTGCTAGAAATCTGAAAATCACCCAGGTACAGATTATTTGGAGTAGATGAGATCCCTGAAAGAGTGTTGCAGAGAGATTGCAGAAGGCTAGCCCCGAGAGAAGAGACTGTAGTTGTGGGTAGAACCAAGATAACGTACAATGAAGATCACTTAAACCAAATGGAGAGAGAGCAGGGCAGGAGATATAAAGGGAGAAGATACAGAAGTAGGAGAGGAAAAGTGAAGATTGAGAATGTGAGGGGGAGCTGGGATCATTGAGGGACCATGGTGTTGGAGAAGCCAGGAAGAAAGGTGGAGAACTTAGCCTTGGATAGGGCGAGCGGTGAAGAACCCAGGTTGTGCAATGCGGTCACAGAAATTGTCAGCATCTTCAGTCACTTCTTGCGTATTTGTTTTCAACTGAAGAATAGTTGATTTGCAATGTTAACATTAGTTCCAGGTGTACAACATAGTGATTGGACAAATCTATATGCTCACCATAAGTGTAGCTACTATCTCACCATGCGATGCTATCACAATGTCACTGACTATATTCCCTATGCTGTGCCTTTCATCCCCATGATGTATTCATTCCGTAGCTGGAAGCCTGTATCTCCCCCTCCTTTTCATCCACCTTGCCCATCCCCCCATTCTCCTCCCCTCTGGCAACCATCAGTTTGTTCTCTATGGGTCTGTTTCTGCTGTTTCTTTAGATTCTATATATGAGTGAAATCATATGGTATTTGCCTTTTTCTGTCTGACTTAATCTCACTTAGCATTAAGCCCTTTGGGTCCACCCATGTTATTGCAAATGGCAAGGTATCATTCTTTCTTAGGGCTAACATTACATTATATATATAATACATATATTATATATATCAGAATATGTGTGTGTGTGTGTGTATATATATATATATATATATATATATATATATATATATATATATCAACTTCTGTATCCATTCATCTTTCGATGGACACTTTCCATTTGGGAGCAACTATTGCAATATTTGTCCTCCAGGTAGGAACCAGAGTTCAGAATGAGTGTGACTGTGGGAGCCAAGAGGTCCCAGGTATTTAACCTAATTATGGGTTTCAAGCATAGTCCCATTTTTTGTGAAAGGAATACAAAAGTAGTTTAAGGCACCCTCCATGCCCTCTGGGAATTTATATGGTGCAGTTCAACAATGACTAAGAGCCCAAACAAGTATGAATAGGATGTTTTGAATCCTGATTTACCCGTTTCTAGCTATGTAACTATGGGCAGGTCTCTGTGTCTCTTTTCTCATCTATTAAAAGGGGAGAATATGATATCTACCTCGTATGTTCTGGAGATTAAATGAGTTAACATAAGTAAGGTGCTTGGAACAGTGCCTGCAACATCATAAGTAGTGGATAAAGGTTAGCTAAGATCATGGTAAAGCTATAGCAGTCAAGGAGGAAAATTCGTGTGGAGACAATTCAGGAATAGAGAGGAGGGAAGGAATGAGAGAAAAGGAATTCTAGTTTGAGGGAAACATTGCGAATAAAGTCTTAGAGCAGCAAAAGCATTGGCATTTGCGCGTGATTTACTCCATGATCCAGACCGTTCCCGCTGGGATTGGAGTAGGACAGGAGGGTGGGTGACTGACATTGGTCATAATAAAAGTGGGAGCCGGAGAGTCAGAGCTCTTTGGCTGTGATTTCTATCCTGGCCCTGTGACTTTGAGCAAGTTGTCTCATCTCTTAGGACCCCAGGGTTCCTAATCTATAAAATGAAATGGACTGTATCTCTAAAATCCTTTGCATCTCAGGAATCCTGTGCTTCACACGTGAGAATGATTTATTTGACCCCATGGTCTATGGAATAGTGGGGTTTTTTTCAGCACAGTGTGAGGCTCTCTGGTGTGTGTGAGGGTGGACTTGTGGTTCTGGCCTCATTAGTCCCATGCTGTAAGGGAGTGAGCCGACCAGCCCATATATAGACGCTACACACTGCCTTTGCAACACTTAGCAATCACCACCACTAGAGAAATCTGGGATCTCTGCGGGTGTATTTATGAAAGGAGCCCTGGGGTATTTCACTCCCAAATTATTTAGAGTTAACTCTACTACCATCCTCTTGAGGAGCCTTGAGTTTTATGGGTACTTGCCTTGAAGTGGACCCTGAGGGCTAAGTAGGAGGGAGAGAACAATCTTTAGCCTTTCTAAAAGAAGTTCCCCGATTGTCTCTGTGGAGCTCACAAAACTAAAGGGAGAAAGCAGCACCAGGAACACCAGATGAGATGCCGGTGCAACCCTAAAGCCTTCGTGGTAAGACTCACCTGCTCAGGTCCTTTTGTGACAGGCACCAAGCATGCGTGCTTTTGATGTCAGGGATTCCCCTGTTTCAGGGCGTGTTTTAAATGACCCAGGACTCTGTGTAAACATGGAAACGGGCTTTTCAGATCCTGTGCTTCGAAATCACTGGCTCTCGTGTGGCATTACTTCGTTTTTCCTTTTAGAAGAAAAACTTGGTTTGTTCTGTTCTTACTTCTGTCCTTCCTGGCTTGAGCCCCTCTGGGCTGCGTGCAGGCCTTTCCGCCATCATTCACCCTGTGGCAGTGTGGTGCTATTGTTTCAGAGGAAGTTCTCTGAGATTCTTCCACCAATTGCTCCCCTCACCCCCACCCCCGGCCCCCGGTTGTCCCTGGCAGGATCTTGGTCAGCAAAGCACGCACTTCTGGACTTCTGTACCAGATGGATTTTACACAACTTGGTGGATTGAAAAATAACTCGAAATGGAAGAGCCAAAGCAAATGGGAGCTATTTTGTCTGTATTTTGTTGTGCCTCCAAAGTTTTGAAGGGTTTAGTGTTTTCAGAACCCGGAATCTGGAAAGAGTGACAGTTTGCCCTTGCGTTGTCTTTGGAAGAAAGAGTATCTCTGTAGGGAGTAGACTTCCAGGACAGGAGGGTTACTTGAGCATCATAGGAGGATTCCAAAGCTGACAACGTCCCCCTGGGTAATGTCAAATATGCCTTACTAGTTTAGAATAGAAGTCCGTTGAGGGTATGGGATGTATGTTTGTGGTTGTGTGTGGTTTACAAACAGTGAGTTGCATGTAAGTAACAAACACGAGCAATTTAGGAGCCTCCCATCTTTGGATCTCCCTGGCTGACCATTCCCCTGAGAGGGGCTTATGAGCATCATCTCGCCCATTCCCGCCACAGATTTTCTGAAGAGCAAAACACCCGTGTCACAGAAGAAACTATGTGTTGCGGAGGTTGTGAATAAAGGTCGAGAGTGAGATGGTTTGGTCTGGCCTCTTTTTAGAGCAGCGATTGATTACTGCTGTCTGTGTTGCCGTTTCTTCCAGAGCTGACCTGTCCCGGACGCAGCATAACTAACGAAGCTGCTGCAGGATGAGAAGATGGCAGCGCGGCTGCTCGCACCACCAGGCCCTGATAGTTTCAAGCCTTTCACCCCTGAGTCACTGGCAAACATCGAGAGGCGCATTGCCGAGAGCAAGCTCAAGAAACCGCCAAAGGCCGAAGGCAGTCATCGGGAAGACGATGAGGACAGCAAGCCCAAGCCGAACAGTGACCTGGAAGCGGGGAAGAGTTTGCCTTTCATCTATGGGGACATCCCGCAAGGCCTGGTTGCAGTTCCCCTGGAGGACTTTGACCCATACTATTTGACGCAGAAAGTGAGTTGGAGGAGACGGCAGTGCGGCTTCAGACACCCCTTTCCTAACAGGCTTAGGGGAGACGGGGGAGGAAGAACTGTCCCTTTGCCAGAGTTTGGATAAGTAGTTAATCCTTTGTTTCGGTTCTGGTTAATGGGGTTTGTTTTTCAGTGTTATTGCTGCTCAGGCTCATTTGTGGGCCTTGACGCTCCTCGAGTCTGTTAATAAGGCTTCAATTTTTGGCTCCAGGCCAGATCAGAAAAAGATGAAAACAGATTCGAAAACAAAAACAAAAGAGAACATAAATGAAACGGGACTATTTAATAGAGTCCAAGAAAGATGGCGTACCGAAAGATGATGCAGCCAGGTAGAATCTGTCTCCCACACCCACTCAGAATTCCATCTTTACATATAAAGATGATGTAACTGTTACAACATCAGCAAAGCCTACTGTTTTGAAGGAGATGATGGATTTGTACTCTATCGGAACTTCCTCTGTCCCTTGGTGACACTAGATCTTAGCTGCTGGGGACAGGAGTAGTAGAGGGTAAACCAAACTGGGCCCGTGAGGAGACCAGGTCTTTGGCCTTGTTACTCAGTTGTCCGGCTTGAGCCAACACTCATTCTTACATTAGAGTCAGTTCTGTTACTCTTGCCTGTAAGAAGCACAAGTGAAATAAATACTTGTCTTCATTTGGCCAAGAGTTTCAAACTCCTCTAACAAACATTTGACCCAACCGTGGGCTTCTTTCTCATGATTCTCTTTTGCAGCAAGGCAACAGGTGGAGAAGCAAAGCCCCCTGGCTAATCTGCCAGCCAACTACTTAGCCATTGCATACTGAGGACTGACGCCAAACACCATTCTAGGGATCCCCCATTTGACAAAGGTCATTTAAAGAATTAGATTGAGAGGTGTTTCCAGATGAGGGGAGAAAAGGCTGTGTATGATAACATATTCACAAATATAAAGCTTAACTCAACTATCTATATTAACAAAACTGCCCCATAAGCTTCCCTTAACTAAATTGTCCTTCAGGCTCATAATTTGGAAGAAATTTTAGTTTCTTGGCTTAATAACGAGACAGAAGTAAGATGAGACCAGTTGATCTCTTGACCCAGCTGTAGTTGTGAAGGCGTTTTTGGCTCAGGATGGCAAAGGCAGTTATGACGTTGTCTACACAAGATGGTCCTTCACTCACTTCTCTTGCAACTCAGGATATAAGTGCCAACAGTGGCCTGTATCCTCCACTGGGAAATATAGAAAGTTTAAGAAACGAAGCATGAAGTGATGTGAATAACAGTCAACCAGAAGTAAGAAATCCTGACTCTACCATAATGCACCATGTTTCTGATCTATATTTCTCTTTTCTCATATGTGTATTGTTCAAGATGCCTCAAATAGTTTATGGGAAAAGCAAGTTATAAATAAAACAACTTCCCAAAACTAGTTCATGTCCTTTTAGCAAGATGTGTCACCTCTTTGGGCCTAAATTTTCTCATCTAGAACTGAGAAGTTGGACAGACTTTCTAAGGACTTATTCACATCTCAAGTTCTGGAGCTGAGTAGTTTTCATAAACTTTCATTGATTTGCTCAGTTACTCTTCCCTTCTTTAAAGTCTGGCTTTGTAATGTGGGCCTTTGCCGAGTGGGCTAGATGGGTGAGGGAGGAGGCAGGCTTTAACTTTCTGGGTTAGTGAACAAGGGAACGTGGAATCTTGGGCTATTTTTAGAAGAACATTTCATCCCATTGTAAAATTTTGAAATATTTTTAGAAATGTCTTCTTACACTTTCCTATTCTTGCATCCATGATCTTAGTAGAGCTACAAAGCAATGACAAATCACAGGGTTTAGGTTGTGCCTATTTAGGTGAGTTGGCCAATGGTGTGACTTTTTCAGAAAGTACTCTTAGTGCAATAAGTAGATATGTAAAGCCCTTTGGACCCTGGCCTTTCAGGCAGCCAGAACTGTTTTGCTTTTATTTGAACTGTTTATCTTTCCAACTCAAATGCAGATTCAATCTCCTTTTCTTAAACCCGACTTAATATATGAAGAATACACATCAACAGGGCCCAGTTTTCCTTTGCATGCCTTTTCCCCTGGTGTCTGCCCTATAGGTAGCCTCTTTTCTCCTAATGCCTCAGATTTCAGTGACCCTGGATTGGGAGTGAGGCCTCAGAGAGGGTAGATCTCTGGCCCTGATTGGGTGTCATTCCTTGGGTAGGAGTGTTGGTGGAGCTCCATCAGGAGACTGGTTCTTCATGATAGACAGGATGACTTCAGCCTTTGGCCTCACCACAAGGGT